CTGCAACCCATGAGTTGAGCCACAAGTGACGGGCTGTTGTTGGTGGTGTGGTGGGTGACCATATATTTATAATACATTGATATTAGAAATCTAAAAGATATCACAAATATACTATCACACTATTTAATGGCACGTTTGTCCTAACCCATTGAAAACATGGATGAAATAAGAAATATGAAAAATATATTATACATATAAAATATTCTGCGATTTTTTTTAAATTAGATTTTTTTTAGAGAAAAAATGTCAGCATCTCTCCTTGCTTACAGTATCACATTGTATTGCTGTATATCATATTGTGTGTATATGTATCATATCACCAAATTCTTGCCAATGTTCAGCCCTACTATCTRTTACAGGTAAAATTTATTTGTTTATGGATTTTACACAAACTGTCAGTCTAAAGTGGTTGAGTTGTTATTTTGTGTGTTTTGGATGTGTTACTCCTCTCTGTACAGAGGATAAAATGAAAACTGTTTGTCAGGTCCAGTGAGTTCTACAGAAACCATCTGAACTCGGTGAAGCGTCATGGAAACAGAAACTTTGAGCTTCCTGTTTCCTGAAGCAGCAGAATCATTGGGATTTAAAAAGAAAATTATTCTGTTTCTTGTTGTTTTCTCTGCAGGGAACRGGAGCTGCCAGTTTTGATGAATTTGGCAACTCTAAGTATCAGAACCGGCGGACCATGAGCAGCTCTGACCGGGCCATGCTGAACGCCTTTAAAGAGATCAGCACCATGGCCGACCGCATCAACCTGCCAAGAAACATTGTAGTGAGTTTGAACCTGGAGCCCAGGAGAGGAAGACCACAAACTTAGTCCATGGGCTAGGGTGGGTCATTGGCCCCCCCCCAACTGTACTTCTCTGGTATTTTCATGTACTCTAGGGTCCACTCTTTCAGAAAATGCATGTTAACATAAAGAAGTTGGGTCTCACTGCCCACCGGACATTGCTTTGTGACCACACCCCTTTTCCATTGTGACCATCAAAATTAGGGATACAGGAAACTTAACTGCCAATAACTTTGCTATAAACCAACCACATTTTAAAAACAAGTTATCTTAACTTTTTTAGACACTCAACATGTTTTTCTAGACTACCCTGACATGATGGGAAGGTAGACAAGTCAAGATTAGTTGACTTTTGAAAAGTTGCATCCTTCTCTCCCTATGTGGTGAGCAGGTTCATGTACCTCACCTTTGTGATTCTCTGATTACCATTTTTACAAACCACTAGGCTCAAAAGGATTTAACACACTGAAACCAAAAACAAAAATGTGGAATTAACWAAGAAAAAGTTTATTAAAACCAAAGATGTAAAAGGAGGCCACCAGCCAAGYTGCACTCAGGCAGCCTGCAGCAGAGGGAGGACAGAGCAAGACCCCTCTCCCTCTCAGAAGAAGGCTGTCACCCAAATGATCAACCTACTAAAGAAGTAGGTTGATCACACCTGCAGATAGATGGCTGGATGATTGCAAGTGAGGTGTGTGTGTGAAAAAAGACCCACAAATCAYACATAACACCAAACAGAGCACAAGTGAACTTATCCCTCACAGAAGAGTGAATCATCTCATCCCCATTTGTCTTTAAACTTACCAAATGCCTTTTAAGGGCTCGACACACGGGAGGTGACGTCGCTCGCTCTCCATTCATTTCCTATGGAGCCTGTGCGGTGA